GTATCAACTTGATGACAAGAGCTGATTTCACAAGTACAAGTTCCAGCTTTAATTCAAGATCTCGACAACTGTTCGCTGGAAAATTCGTTGCTTTCTTTGTTATTGATTCCATTGTCTTGAGTTACAAAAGATCCGGTCTTTTTATAAGATCCGGTTACAACGAAAATCAAATAAAAATAAACAAAGATTACAACTTTTCTCCTTTATGTCGAACGAATCGCGAGCTCCTGTTTTGCGGTCGCTCGCTTGGTGGGTTCTTTGCCTGCGCCGGGGTTATTTGCCGTGGACCACCGCAAGATCTAGATCCAACAGGAAGTTTCTGGAGAATATTACTCAGAATATTCTTAAGAATAACCTGAATACTCCAATAGGTACACGAGTCTAAACTGTTTTCCTACCCTCAACAGGAAGTTTCTGGAGAATATTACTCAGAATATTCTTAAGAATAACCTGAATACTCCAATAGGTACACGAGTCTAAACTGTTTTCCTACCCTCAACAGGAAGTTTCTGGAGAATATTACTCAGAATATTCTTAAGAATAACCTGAATACTCCAATAGGTACACGAGTCTAAACTGTTTTCCTACCCTCAACAGGAAGTTTCTGGAGAATATTACTCAGAATATTCTTAAGAATAACCTGAATACTCCAATAGGTACACGAGTCTAAACTGTTTTCCTACCCTCAACAGGAAGTTTCTGGAGAATATTACTCAGAATATTCTTAAGAATAACCTGAATACTCCAATAGGTACACGAGTCTAAACTGTTTTCCTACCCTCAACAGGAAGTTTCTGGAGAATATTACTCAGAATATTCTTAAGAATAACCTGAATACTCCAATAGGTACACGAGTCTAAACTGTTTTCCTACCCTCAACAGGAAGTTTCTGGAGAATATTACTCAGAATATTCTTAAGAATAACCTGAATACTCCAATAGGTACACGAGTCTAAACTGTTTTCCTACCCTCAACAGGAAGTTTCTGGAGAATATTACTCAGAATATTCTTAAGAATAACCTGAATACTCCAATAGGTACACGAGTCTAAACTGTTTTCCTACCCTCAACAGGAAGTTTCTGGAGAATATTACTCAGAATATTCTTAAGAATAACCTGAATACTCCAATAGGTACACGAGTCTAAACTGTTTTCCTACCCTCAACAGGAAGTTTCTGGAGAATATTACTCAGAATATTCTTAAGAATAACCTGAATACTCCAATAGGTACACGAGTCTAAACTGTTTTCCTACCCTCAACAGGAAGTTTCTGGAGAATATTACTCAGAATATTCTTAAGAATAACCTGAATACTCCAATAGGTACACGAGTCTAAACTGTTTTCCTACCCTCAACAGGAAGTTTCTGGAGAATATTACTCAGAATATTCTTAAGAATAACCTGAATACTCCAATAGGTACACGAGTCTAAACTGTTTTCCTACCCTCAACAGGAAGTTTCTGGAGAATATTACTCAGAATATTCTTAAGAATAACCTGAATACTCCAATAGGTACACGAGTCTAAACTGTTTTCCTACCCTCAACAGGAAGTTTCTGGAGAATATTACTCAGAATATTCTTAAGAATAACCTGAATACTCCAATAGGTACACGAGTCTAAACTGTTTTCCTACCCTCAACAGGAAGTTTCTGGAGAATATTACTCAGAATATTCTTAAGAATAACCTGAATACTCCAATAGGTACACGAGTCTAAACTGTTTTCCTACCCTCAACAGGAAGTTTCTGGAGAATATTACTCAGAATATTCTTAAGAATAACCTGAATACTCCAATAGGTACACGAGTCTAAACTGTTTTCCTACCCTCAACAGGAAGTTTCTGGAGAATATTACTCAGAATATTCTTAAGAATAACCTGAATACTCCAATAGGTACACGAGTCTAAACTGTTTTCCTACCCTCAACAGGAAGTTTCTGGAGAATATTACTCAGAATATTCTT